GCAGATCGGAAGATGGGGAGGGGGGAAAGAGTTCTCTGGGAAAAAGACATGTGTGAAAAGGCTCAAAAAAGCAGCCAGGCAGTACTGGGCTAGGTGAGCATCTTTTATTGAGGGTGAGAAGTTACTCAGTTTATAGCAAAATGTGTTATTTTAATATTAAATTTGTACATGTATTGATTTTTATTGTGTGTATGTATGAACCACATAGTACACCGTTGTTAGACTTACAGCCACATCACCCAGATTACTGTGTTGCATGTGTGAAAAGCCAAATATTAAAGAACCTAAAAGGAGCAAAATTCGTAACTGCTTTTTCTTTAATACCCTAGTCCTTGTGGCAAATCTGTGCATTATTCAATAATATTAAATTGTGGTTTGCATGTAGCACATCAAATCGCTAAAGCAAGTAGAAAACAACTCGGTGACTGCAGCTTAACTGGGTGTACTGATGTGAGCAACAATTGTATTGCCAGTTAACACAGCTTTTTACTAAGGAGGATGTTTTATCTTTCAGAGGTTATTCAATATTACTTAACCTGAGTATTAAGGAGCAACTGAGCATTTCAGAGATATACAGTTTTCTAATATTACAAACCACCCCTTTATAGTGAAGTGCTTACTTGCAATAGCTATGTTGTTAATGTGTCTGCTTCTACTAAGATTGGCATCACAGGGTGTGTGGAGCATACTGCCCTCTACATGGCAGAACCAAAGTCAAAGGATTACAGGCCAGGCGTGGGGCCATGTCTCCTTGTCAGACGTCCTCCTCTTGGTGGATGTCAAGTATGATGTGGTCACTCAATTGCTGTATACAGAAATGCTTCAGGAGCACCATAGTAAGGAAATGTTCCTCTACACTGTCACCTAAGTACACCTTAATCACAATGAAGGAGTCTGCTTTGGATGCTTCATGTTTCTGTCATTACTTCTTTGTTGATCCACAGCTAAGAGCGTCTGGGAGATGATGCCGACATGGCAACAGCATCAGGAAGTAGAACAGTTGGAGGATCGTGCAGATGAAGCTTTGGCATCTGTTGATATGCTCAGCTTAGCTGAGCTGCCAGGAGCTTTCAGGATGTACAAGTAACACACATAGATCATGTTTTTGCTACTTTGCTTGAGTGTTTGAACTTGGCTACACTGCCACTGGTCGGGGATATAAGGAGTCAGTGTGTTATCCAAAAACTAAAAAAGGATGTGCATAAACAACTTTGTTAAATAGCACACGTAACGGCAAAGAAAATGGTTTATCAAAACAGATGGGTTAATTTGTAGATCCATCAATTTTCCTGACTGCTTATTTAACTAAAGGGTTGAAAAGGGATAGATCCCATCTCAGGTGGCATAGGCCAACAGGCAGGATACACTTTGGACAAGTTCAGCACAGGGAGAACAAAAAGCAACAGACGATTCACACTCACATTCATACGTACTGGCACTTTAGGGTCTACTATTAAGATGGCATTCATATATTTGTATTATGTCTGTATTATGGATGGAAAGCATTTAGTTTGATTCATGTTAAGCCAAAGCACCATGGTAAAGCTTATTTCCCTTCAGGGCCTGTATGAGTGCATCTTTTAGAAGTTGTCCTGAGCAGTCCTGGTCTGCCGTTTCTCTTCTGAATGAGTTGCACAAATTTTGTCAACAAGAACATGATGCACTTACAGTCCTGCATGAGAGGTAAATTATTTCAAGTAGTTTCATACATTTGACTTAAGAGAGTTTTTTGGGGGGAAATACCACCATGAAACCCTGAGAGGGAAAGGGTTGATTCATCAATCTTTTATCTTCCAGGCTCCATGGGGAGAGCCTGAAACTGTTGTGTCTGTACGTCAGGTTGGCAACTATTAGAGCTCAGAGAGAGAAACTTTCCTATACAGCTCTTCTGGCTGCTCACCAGTCCTGGGAGACATGGTGAGCCAAAACAACACTCAGAGTATACAACAGTTTGTATTCACAATCATCAAGTTTTCATATCCTTTGTGTACTGTCTGTCCATTCAGGCCACATGTTAACGGTCCACGTAGAGCAGAGCAGGCCTCCTTGTGGCTACATGGAAAAGCACAAGAGAAAGAGTATGACTTTGAGACAATAGAGCAGGTATTACAAATCAGACTGTGGACAGCAAACTCCTGTTATAATATTGCTCTCAGATTATATACATGATCTTTTTTAGTGGGTTAACATTACTTTTATAAGTAATAGAGCTACATTTTTGGTCCACTTATAGCAGTCAGTGCTGCAGCTGCTGGTGCTGACTCAAGAGGAGGAGAGGAAGCAACTTATCACATTAATACATGGAATCTCCATAAAGGATGTGCAGGCACCAGCATTCACAGTGCCTCCAAAATATGGTAATAAATAGTTTTATTTTTCCCAGCAGAATTTATTTAGAATTCACTTCTTTTTGATTTCCATCATTTCTCCACTTCATTATCTTCTTTCCTGTTTCCTCGACAGACAATCATCATCAAGTTCCTTTGAGGAATGGCTGTATTAAAAGGCTGCATCAAATTCATGCTTGGTTGCAGGCACACAGTGGTACTCAGAGCCCTCTACAGCAAACTAACCCTGAACCACAACTGATGGCCCAGCTCAAAGTGCAGGCCTACAGAGAATGGTCCCAACTTCTCCTGGAAGACTGTGCCCTGCTTCTTCTAACCCATCTAACAGAACTTCAGGAAGTCCAAGCTTCTGCTTTACTGCAAGCGATGATGGATGGGGTGAGTCGAGGCAATCACAACATACAAGTCAAAGCAAGAAAACCTACAAAAGGCTGTAATGTTAATAGTGGTGCATCTTGTCTCTTTGTTTAGAATGCACAGCTTCTCCAGGCTTTGCAGGATAAATATAAATCTGAATTTCAAGCTCAGTGCTTTAGCAACCTGCTCCACCTCCTGATCTCAGATGCTCCCCTTAGTTCAGGCTCTGTGTTAAATCCTTATCCAAACTTTACTGAAACCAGCAGCAGCAAGCAAATCATAGTTCAGTCCTCTTACACTGGACAGGCAGAAGTCCAAAACATGAGTGGGGGATCAGCTGAAGCTGAGACGGTTGATTCAAGCAAAAGCAGCAACGGTGTAGTGAATGAAGTCCAAAATGCGGATGGGACTTACAAACACGATTTCTGTTCAGGTATTAAAAACATTTAATAACTAATTATCCTAATAAAATAACATTTTCCTAAAACTGTGGGAATAATATGCTTTGAACTCCAACAGGTTGTGGAGCAGTCATGGAGGACCTGCCCTACTTGGAGATCCTGTGTGTGTCAGATGCTCGTGAGGGTCTTGCTGCAGATGGAGGAGCCAAAGAGGAAGCAGAGGGCAGTGAATTAAAGAGCCCCCAGAGCTGTGAGAAACAGGGCTCTTTAATCACCCTCGCCTGGAGCAAACCACCAGAGGATGACATAGACAGCGCAGCAGAGCCTGCAGATGGGTGTACAGGACAGATTCAGGATGGTGCAAGAAGTCTGAAGACGCAAGCACGGCCTACACAATGTGATGTGTCAGATCAAGAGAGAGGTGGAGAAGAGCTGAAACCTACTGGGTTGAAGTCTGGTACTCCAGATCACTGTGACACACAGTCTGCAAACCAGCAGTGCAGCACAGTAGAAGAGGTACTTCATAAGAGTGTAGCAGAACGTAATTCACTGTGACTGTCACTGAACTCATGTGTTCACTTTCTGAATTCTTATTAGCTGGCCTTCAGTAACAGACAAACAGCCGATCAACCAAATGAAGGAGAAGCTGTATTTGAATGTGGCTTACAAACACATGCTTTGGTGGCAGAGAGCAAGGAAGCCGCACAGCCACACCCTATGGCTGATTCCTCTGAAGCTAACCCACATGCAGACGACTTCTGCTATGGGACATGCAAGGACATAACTAATGCTGACAGGGTTGTGACTGAGGTGGAAACAGAGTCCAAGCAGTGGGACATGACAGACCCTGAACTTGATTGCTATAAGGAGCAGAAATACTGTCCAGAAGAAACAGTAAGAGTAGTCTTGACATATTCTGGTTAGATCGGTTCTCATTTAAAACATACAACCAGCTATTTTCCCACCATGTTCCAGGTAGACTATAGCCTGTCAGAGTGTAAGGCAAAGAAGGAAGCTTCTCTGATGGAGAGAGAACGAGTGAGCGAACCGGTGTCTGCAATGGAGAGAGAGAGGACAATGCGCAACCTAGTGGACATGCAAAGAAAAGTTGAACAAAGGCAACAGAGAGACAGAGAGAGGCAACTGCTCAGGGTGAGACAAGGTGTAGAGAGGGACACTGCATGCTCATGACTCAGAAATGAAAGCAGAATTGATGTTACATTGTTAGCATGTCTTTCAGGTTCAGGAGCGCCTGTCAATCATCCAGAACAGAAAGGCAGAGGAAGACCTGCTTGGCCTGAAACACACAGACAGGATAAAGCACCTTACTCAAGATCTACCACTGGTAACTACATATTGAGGAACTGTATACTTAAAAAAACCCTCAAAAACAATGAATTAGCATGCTATCTTATCATCATATTGTCTACTTTTTAGGAAGATAAGAACAAGCAGAAGACTGTTGTGAAAGAGCGTCTAGAGCAACTCAGAAGAGAGCGCTCTTATGTCATGCAGTCTAAAAGAGATAGGTAAATGACACCCTCTTGAATCTGCCAGTCAACACCAAATTAATATTGACCGCATTTATTTCAACACTATTTTTTAATCCTTTAGAAATACCACAGGGTTTAAAGAACTCCTGGGTCCAGTTGCCCTCCAGAGCAGAGACACGGAGGATGCAGAAGACTGAGTCACAACACAGTCACAAAAATACCAACAAATGTACGCTTTTCTTATTTTGAATATATTGAGGCACCAATTGTCTAATGTGTTTAGGTTTAATGGTGCAGATTTTCTATCAGCAGTATTTCCTTTTGTTCGGGGTTGTAACAAAACTTATACAGAATGCTCAGAAACCAGTACAGGTTGTACATATGAAAACAGAACAGCTCAATGAACTTGCAGTCATTTATTGTACAGTTTAATCATAATCTCGACAACCATAAGCATCAACAATAATGTAATTTACCAATGACCCTTGTGTACAGACTATCCCGTGGGCTAAATTAAATACACAATGAGTCACAGAGGTGCGTGATAACAGTCTACAGTGGCTCCATTAACTTCTCTTCATCTGAACATAACATTTATTACCATTATGTAAGAAAAAAAGTTGTGGCTAAAGAAAGACACTGCTGTTGACTCTGAATGCACCTGTGGAGTAGGACTGTATTTATTTACAGGTATATGGGGGTGGGACTCTTATAACATGTTGAGGGACAAAGGTTTGGCTAACAAGAATAGGGAGATATGTATAACATAGAGGGTTTGGTGCAGGCTCAGTGGTTTTCCTGCAAGCCAGGAGAACTTCTCAGTCCTGGTGAGAATAAAACTGTCCATGTGGGGAAGATTCTCAGCAAATAAACATTTTTTCTCCTTCCCTAACTTTATATAATATCCACTCGCACTGCAGTCCAATATAAAGCAGGAATACCTACCACCCTAATAAGCCGGAACATTCCACAGCAGCTCCCACACACTGAGCCACTGCATAACACACATACAAGTAGTATACAAGTTTGACCTCCACTCAAATGAACACAAAACTTCAAGTTCAGAGGTCTCAAACACACTAACCCCCCGCTTCAGACATGCAATTGTTTCCATTAATCAACTGAACTTGTCGGCTTCATGTCTGAACATTGATCGTCTCTCTTCAATAATGGCAAGACTGTGAATGTGCATGTGTCTTGAATCAGTAACGACTATAATTTGAAGAGTTGTATATGATGCTTTTTTCCTGATCCAGAAGAGAAATGTTTGTCCCTGGGTGGATGTGTTAGGGGAAGGGTACAGCTCTCCAAGGAGCACCATGCAGTACAAATACAGAACCTGCCCCTTTTTACACTATTGGAGAGAACTAAACATTCGAAAATTTACTTGTCTTCAATTAAAGAACCTTAACTAAAGTGCTATACATCTGCACAGCATAATTTTCTCACTTTAAAGATTAATGAATGTTATCTCTGTCTGAATGTCTGAAAAGGGGCTTATCATTCACACCTACATAGACAAAAACAGCTTACATATGAGAAAAAAACAAAACAAAAAACAAATGTGCCTGGCAGGCAGGTAACTTTAGTCAGGCCTTTAATATGTGTGTGTGGCAGCTAGGAACTGAACAGAACCAGCAAATCCCATTTTCAAAATATGACACGTATAATCAGGTTAGCGCTGATGGGAGCAGGGCACTTTAATAGTGGTGACACACTGAAATCGAAACACCTGTGGTGCCAGATGTTTATGTAATGTCTGGACCCTAGTTTTACACGGGCAAGCTCTTTAGCAAACGGCAGCATGCGCTTGTGTGTAAAAGATTTTAAACTATATTTTTTACAAGACAGTCAACAAAAATTGAATTTTATACATTACCTTTCATTATAGGAAAGACAAGTCTAAACATTTAGGATGAAAACAAAGGGATCTAAATCATGTTAATTCAATAAACCTCTGAAAATGGGGCCACCTTCCTGCTGCTGGCTTTGAAGAGCACTACTGTTCATAAACATAAAATGATCATAACACATCCAGGATCACTGTCTTATGGGCACCATGGAGCTGAACGAAGGGGGGGGAATTTTGTGTGAGACTAAAAAACAAAAAAGAAATTATATATATATATATTCTCTTTTTCATGTGAGTCTTGAGAGGAGGAAAATGTATGAGTCGCAAATCTTGAATGGTGTTAGCAATGGGACTTTTGTGTTTTTATGCTTCTATGTGTGTGCAAGTCTGTAGTCTTTCTATTGGTGTGCGCACTGCACTCCTGGGCCATGATGACCGCCTTCCTCATCAGAACTATCATTGTAGGCCTCTCTCCTGGCTCCGCTTCCTGAACCTTGACTTCTGTCAAAATCTGTTAGGTCAACTTCCTCGGCATCTGCTGCAATAACGGGAGTCTCCGCACGGGCAGGCAGCAAGCACTCGAGTTCCTGAAAGAAGACAAACATCCATCACGACATTGTATTCACTCTAACATTTTGCGAGTTGTGATTTTTGTTTTCTCTATTGCAACTCACATTCAGCTTTTCAGGGTTAATCCAATTGTTTTCAGGGAACTGGACCTCAAACTTAATGTAAAGATCTCCCTTCTCAAATGGATTTCTGTACTGAGGCATCCCCTCTCCTTTCACCACTCGAATGCAGCCTGCCACAAACACACAAAGGAGAAACGGCACACAGATTCAACAACAATTGTACACTAGAGTGCGAGGTCTATGTGCTCTCCAACAGAGTCTAAATATAAGATGGATCTAGCCACAGTGATATCATCCACTGACATCATCTCTCGCACTGAGCATTATCACAGTTGCTGTGTTAGTGAGGTATTGATCCGACAGTGAAACCAGGGGACACAGTAAACCCTAGGGACTTGTCAACCACAAGGTAGGCTTGCCCTAAACCATACTGTGATTTATGGTCCTTTCAAATCTGATAGGTAGGGGTGCAACGATACACAAAATTCACGGTTCGGTTCGATACTTTGGTGTCACGGTTCGATATTTTTTCGATACAAAAAAATGTTCATGCTTTTTTAATTTGTCATTTATTAAAATTATAAATATATATTTGAACTCAAACGTACAGTTTTTTAATTTAATGTTGCTGAAACAACAAAGGGATAAAATAATAAATCTGATCGAGAAATCACTCATCTTTGGAAAAGAGAGTTTATTACAGAGAAATGGCTCTTTCCAAAATAAAAGCTATACTATACGCTTCTTCTGGGCTATATTCTCAGCAGCATATTAAACATATCAGGTCCCCATAAGGAGAATCACGTGCTAACGGCTGTCTAAATGACTCGGGTAAAGTTTGTAGCATGTGTGCTTGTTGTTTTTGTCTGCTTCCACTTGTCTTTGCACTATGGTGATGTCGGCGTAAATGTGCAGTCATATTCATTTTGTTCCCACTAGTGCTGTCAGCGTTAATCTGAAATGACGTTAACGCCACAACACGGCAAATCTCCGTTAATGAGCAAACTGCGCTAACGCAGTAGTTCCCACCCATGTAATTGAGCATTGCGTGGCACATCCGACATACTGTTTTACTTTTGTCCATGACGCGCTTGCCTTCAGGGTCATACTTCACATGAAGACCAAAATAGTTCCAAAGGCCAGATCTGAATGAGGGTGGGGGAGGTTCAATTTGCCATGTTGTAACGAGCTTAGCTTCTGTCTTGCTAGCTTGCGCTGCACTCAGTGGATCTGCGCTCGACAGTGCAGCCTAGGCGGAGTAGTCGAACGCAGATCCACTGAGCTGTCAACACAGACAGCATCGTCAGAAGAAAAGTTGATAAAATAAATTAAAAATTTTGCATTGTTCGATACATATGCGTACCAAACGGAAAGCACTGTATCGAACAGTTCAATATCGATACGAGTATCGTTGCACCCCTACTGATAGGGTCTAATATTTTCACATTTAAAATTTTTTAAAAATAATGAATGGTTAAAAGTAAGATTTGAAACTAGAGACACCAAAAGAAAACCCAAAACAAAACAACTTTATCACAAATTTCATAGCTCAACTTCGCTAATTGGTTGATTTCCTAATATAAACAGGCTTCTTTTTGGGAACAAGTGACGTCGCCCCCTGCTGCCCATTAGACAAAATTAGTTATACTATACATCAGCATTTCGACTTTTCTGACATGGAAGCTACATCTATCTTTTATATACAGCCTGTGGTTTCCATATTTATTCTGAACCTGGAATTTATAATATAATATAATATAAACTATGGTGCAAGTTGTCAAAATTGTCATGCAAACGATATTTTAAGACTTAGATTATACATGTGTCTGTGCTTATCATACATGCTAATGCCACAGTTTTAACTCAAATGCAGTTTTATAGTTACATGTTTATTTAGAAAACTAGTGTTAGATTTTACATTGTTAAGTTTGAAATGTCCCAAAAAAGTATATGTATTCTCAACAACTTGAAACAATGACAGCTTTTTCACAAGACAGTTAATTATATAGCACAACCTTGAGAAATTACCAGAAAATTCTACAACACCAAGGTGACTTGTTAAAACAATCTAATTTTGTTTTCAATTTGGTTCACATTAGATGTTTATATTCTCTCTTTTATGCTGTCCTAAAAATAAATGCTGGCACCAACACTTGCAGTAAAACATAAGTATTCATCCAATAAATTTCCTTCTGTCCAACCAAAAAAGAAAGAATGTCATAACAGAAAAAATAAATTAAAGTAAAGGGAAGATGTTTACCTGGCTCAATGACCTTTCCAGGTGGGTATTTAACAAGCAACTGACGTCCGTCGAGGTGTGTGACTGTGAACTGGAAGCCGCACAGAGCCTCAACCAGGCCGATACGATGAACCATGTGAAGATCGCTGCCATCACGGCGGAAATCCTATTTGAGATATAAAACCCATATTTGTTGCTTAGGTTCATTACATCAAATCGCTTGGATAAATGTAGACTTTATTCATTATCCAAGTTATTCTATTATTAAAAACAGTTTTGTAATCAATAGGAACTGTCTGTTTTGGGGTACCTCATGTTCTTTCTCTTGCAGCACCAGAACTATATCTCCTGGTTCCATGCCTGGTGCTTGGTCAGCTTCTCCAGTGAATGTGATCTTCTGTCCATGTCTCATGCCTTTGTCCACGTGAACTTCAAGAACCTTAGTCTCCTTACAGACTTTATGACCCTCACACTTTCTGCAGCGGTCCTTTTCATTTATCACTTCACCTGGACAACAACCACACACACAGAATAGAAGACCTCAGAGAGCTGTTTTGCTGCGGTTTGTACATTAACTTTGTTTTTAATGTCAGTTTGCAGGTGTGTGGGGATACATTACCCTCCCCATTGCAATCTGTGCAGACTGACTGCATCTGCTGAACCATTCCTGGGGCCAGCTGTCTAATCATGATTCTCATGCCCCGTCCTCTGCATGCTACACACTTCTGCACAGCTCCTGCCTTACCACCCTGACTAAAAGCCAACAGTAAAGTATCAGCATTATTATCCATTTAGAGCAACTGCAAATCATTCATCAGACAGCCTTAAAACTACAAATCAATATAATTTTAACAAAAAGGAAACTCACCCATTACAGGCACTACACAGCACATTCTTACTGAGCTGCAGTTTTGTGGTTTTACCATTGTACAAGTCTTCAAGAGAAACCCTGTAACAACACGATTTGTAAGTACACATACTGCATTACATATGCACCATCCACTGAAGCATCCATCAAACAACAACACTTACTTCAGCGGGTGTACCATATCATCTCCTCTCCTCCTGCCTCCATTGCGTCCTCTTCCTTGTCCCCCCATGAACCCAAACAGTCCTCCACCAAAAATGTGAGAGAAGATATCCTCCATGCCAGGTCCTCCTCCTCCTCCCTCCCGTAAGCCTTGCTCTCCATAGCGGTCATAAAGCTCCTTTTTTTCTGGGTTTGTCAATACCTCATATGCAAAACTTATCTCTTTAAACTGGAAAATGAACAAAGCACAATCAGACAGGTTGAACTGGTGCATGAAGAAAATAAATTCAGTGCACCTCAACAACAGTTCCCTTTTACAAAGCACAAAGGACTTAAAAGAGGCTTTAAGATTTGAGTCATAGAGAAATAAATATATTTTTAAAAAGCATTCTTCTCTAGTGGAAAGCCTGTGTCACATTTTGTACTCTAATCTGTGCCTAGGAGTAATCCTCAAAGCACTGGGCTATGTGATCATTATAAATGGAGGCGACATCATTTCTGCATGCCCAATTGTTGATCAACTGAGCATCCTTTGGTGCTGTTGCTAACACTACTGTTTTGGTGCATCATACCTTGTCTCCAGCTTCAGGGTTCTTGTCAGGGTGGTACTCTTTGGCCAATTTGCGGTAGGCCTGTAATAAACCAAAAAAAATAAAAAATATCAGCGTGAAGAAAGCTGGGTCACAGACCTAAGCTCATGTGCCTGTAGCAAGACGCTTCAATTAGCTTGCTGTCTAAAACAACAGGATATAGTCAAGATCATGGTTGCATGTAACATGTCAGAAACTCAACAACACTGCTTCCAAATAGTCAGCTTTTGACTTGCCAGCGTTATTTTGAATCCCGATAGACGGAAATACAAGGTCTTTATTACGAGACAAAAATAAGATGAATACACAAGCTGTATAAGTTGTGTTATGTCGGGTTTTGCAGAGGACGCAGCAGTTGTCAAATATGAGCCATTAGCATCTGCTTGATGTTTGAATGGATTTTAAAGGGAATAACGCCTGGACGTTGGCTAATGTAGCTGCACGAATGGTGGCATGAACGTTAGCTTGTGACCATCACACACGTTGTTTATAGCGTTGCCTAACATCAATACTGATAAGCATGATCAAGTATTACACTGGGGTTGGCAGTTTATTAAGCTAAGTGTCTCGTTTAGCGAGTGTTGTTTCGTTACTGAGTTGGTGGGGACTATTTGCTGGAATTTAGCATTAGTAGCCGGCAAGCTATCACACTCGTGTTTACCAGTGTTATCTCTGTTTTCAAAGAGACTAACTTCATCCTTATCACGTATTTAGAAACACTTATAAGCAATCATTTAATGCCAATGTGTCGCTTAAATTATGTTTAAAAGTCCGGTGATGTATCCCGCTGTTATCCAGCTCATTTTACTGGCTAAGCTAGCTAAACATCCATTAGCTTGTTTGTAGGCCACATTTGCTCTGGTGACCTCTCTTCCTCTTTTTTCAATTTTGTTTGAACTCCAAGACATTCATTTCACTGTAGCATTTACGTACCTTTTTAAGTTCATTTTCAGACGCAGACGGCGAAACTCCGAGGATGTCGTACAATTTAGTATCCACAACGCCCGACATGACGCTAACCGGCAACTACAGAGAGACCTTCTCCGGAGGAGGTTCAGCTGTGCGACGATACGCGGATCTACCGGCTGGGACTGTCCGGACTTTTGCCAGAAGCAGCACAGACAAACACCCCATGACAAAAAGATGCTGAAACATGGCACATACTTATTATTCCAAAACAAATACATTTTCGTTTAATTTGTATGATATACGTGTAATTAATGACCGATTTTGTGTGTGTTTACAAAAAAAAAAATACATTAGGGACTGTGTTAATCTGTTACAAAACATTGTTTAAAGCATGAAAGTCACACTTTCCACATTGGTAATCTGGTTAAAAATATGTCCCAGAAGATACATTTTCCGGACTTATTATATGTTATGGTTATTTTCTTTTAGAAATTTGAGTGTACCATAATACCACCACGCTCAACAGCTCTAAGCCTTGCAGTCTTTATTTAAGCTGAGCCTATGCTTAATAGCTGTTAGGCTGACACAACATAAATGTAATTTTATCAAGATCACTGATCAAATATCAGTCAGTGTGAAGATTTTCCATCCTTTCATGCATTTTCTTCTGCTTTTACTAGACTTAAATCTTAATAACTACAAGTGGCTCTAAGCCTGATAACGTTTTCTTCTTCTTCTTTTAAAAAAGAAGCCAGTAAACAAACAACGAAAGTCCAGACTATATATACAAGAAACCACGAGCAAAAAGAACTTATGGAGCATACTGCACAAAGGAACCGAAAACATGAGCTTTGGCACAGGAATGACTACCTGCACAACACAAGAAGGAAACCATAACACATGCTGACCAAGTACTCTTGCATTTGACACAATGCAGACTATCCCTCTCCTTTCTTCTGTATATTTATCTCATTCTATATGCACACATAAACCAGTCCATGCAATGGTATGATAAATATAAAAGAAACTGAGTTACTAGACAGATTGGTGTGCAGCATATTTCCTCAACCGTGGCTTTTAAATTGCCTTAAGAGCAGAATAAAGAAAGCTTGTATGAGAGTAACTCGTTCATTCATAATAAACTAAAGCAAAACTAAACATTTTTCAGCAATAAAACCTAAACTGAAACAAGCATACTGAAACAAGTGACTCCACCCTGTGATACAGCTCCACGGTGCAGCTTAAGACAAAATATAATTAATGAATATTCAGACCCGTAACCCTACACAGTGGGAATTCATGTGCAGGTAGAACAGGGACATGTTCAGGTGTGAGTTTTCGTAAAAAAATCAAGCCGGAAAAGACAGTCCCTGCACTTGTCGCTTACTTTACGTGCACAACTAAATAATTTTCCTGCAATATTAAATAAATGCTCATGTATGCATTATTGCATTCTTCACCCCAGTTTTAAACTTAAAGTGTTTATTTTCATAAAGAAAAAAAAATGTTTGAGAGCATGGATGTGAATGTTAAATGTTGCTGCAGTGCTTGATGACAGCAGATAAATATGGACTTACTGGATGTTTACACAGTTGATGGACAGCCGAACTTTTTGATTACGTTTAGGTTGTAGGTAGTCGCCATTTTGATTTCCAAACCTGACTATTTTTATGTATTTTTTTTCCCCATTTGGTCCTTTGGACTCCTGAATAATAATTTACACCGTGTCAACACAGCCCTCCCAGCAGCAGCAGAGCTAGCCGCTGAGTAACACGGCTGTGTAAATGACATTGCAGCCGGTGGAAAGGGTAGTATCGTTAAGCTAACAGCGCAGCCCTGAATAGGCTGCGATGGGCCTCCGAGTGACCTGACAACCAAAGTCGCCGAGTTGCAGTTCAGCTTCCAGATGTCCACAGATTAAACAATGGCTCAAAGGTAACGGTGGTATGTCTTTTTGGGAGGTAAACATGTGTAGCCCAACGTAAAGCCTGTGCAAGCGATCAGAAGACGGTGACTTCAAGCTAGGTCTGAATCAGGAGCACGTCGTCCGACCACCTAGCTCACCAGCGGCGATAAATACTGACCTATATTAGCTTTAATCTGAATGTGGTTTGTCTCCAGTAAGAAATAATAATAATTTTTTTTGGGGGGGGGGGGTTGTTAGCAACTCGACTGTGGCACTGCTTGCTTTGCTAGCGGGCTGCTTTACGATCTGCAGTCAAGGTACGGTAAGTGAAAGTCGTTAAGGGAGACAGTGATAAAGGAGATAAGTTAACGTGGAGTTAAATGCACGGATTCGCTATCTAACACGGCTCCACGCTGACTTGACTGTTACCCTGTTATAACTAAAATCCGCTAACAGCTCAGAGTAACCGTTTACAGCTGCTCTTAGGACGCCTTGGCAGGCCTGTCACGGTTATGCTGTTGTATTAAATTTTAAAATCCACAGATGGCAATGACGAATCTGTAAACCCAGATTCCCGAGACACCTGTTTATCCCCTGCGTGTTTGTTCAAGGGATGTGTGCACAAGGGTGGCGTACTCCGACACCGTTCAATGTTATGCAACTACTTTTAATGGTCTCTAGATATGTGTAAGTTATTTCCAGCCATATTTTGTGCTGTAAAACGATACGCTACCCTCTTGTTTTCTCGCGTTGACGAGAGTTTGTTTGTAAACATGTGTTTGCATCTAAGAGATAATGGACTCATGATGGATGCTTCGTACAAAGTGTGGTCTGATTTGGTTTAGTTTGCGGGGTGGGGTGGCTTTAGGTGAATATTTAAAGCCTTAACAAAGCAAGCAACATTTCCTGCCTCTTACAATATTCAGCTGTCATCACCACCACACCTAGACTCAAGTTTGCTAGCTCCCAGAAACCTCCCATACTCAGGCATTTCTGTCACCGAAGGGTCAGTGTGTGCATCTTTCTTATCTCCAGTCATTCTTTGCTGATGCAAGTGCATGTGTGAGTCCCTTCCCTAAGCAAAGTGGTTAATGTTAATACACGAATGAGCAGCAGTAACTCAATTACAGATGCATTGCTTCCTGTTCTTTCCAGAGAGGAGTCCAAGCCTCTTAGCCTGAGTTCAGCCCTTCATCTAGCTCTGAAGAAGGCAGAGGCAATATTACTGTAAATGATTCTCCAACATTTGTTGTTCATTTTGCTGCTTCCCTTTTTTGGGTTGAAGGCAACTCTGCTGGGTTGGTGTGTCTGGTGTTTAGAATGAGTAAAGTGGGTGTGTTTCCACCTTCGCTATACTCAAATGAATATTGTCTCTGATGTACAGGTTGCACAGTGTCTGTGAGGCAAATGGCTCTTTAGCAAGATCCAACTGAGTATACTTCTCCTTGTCCAAATGTAAGCATTCATAAATAAATTAAACTAAATCAAAAATTAACTTTTGCGTGCATTCTACACCATCCTGTTGCTTATCTCCGCACCACATCCTCTTTTGCTCAACAGCAGAGTGTATGCTACGGTGACGTCAGTCATGTTTTGGAAGTTTGATTTACACACATCTTCTCATCTGGAGGCTTTACTGGACAAGGAGGATGTCACTCTCGCTGAGCTCATGGATGAGGAGGATGTGCTGCAGGAGTGCAAGGCCCAAAACAGGAGGTCTGTTTAATGTCTACTTTGGTGTAGCTGCAAATTATTACCACATTTCGCATAATCAATCACCTTTGCTGTAATGCTTACTAAATTAATAAGTTGTGCATCTTATGTCACCGTTGTGGTTTTGCAGGCTTCTTGTGCTCTTGTGCCAAGACCAGAGCATGCAGGAGCTGGTTCGACTGATTACTACAGAGCCTCCTACTGGTGTAGAGGAGACAAAGCGCTTCAAGTAGGTGCTGTTGTGTAGAATATTCTAATGTAGTTTATTATATTCAGGGTAAAAATATATTCCTGGTGCTGCACTACATTATATCTGTTACCAGCCACTTTGTAGATGAGCCTGGATTTTAAGAGGATTCAGATTTGCTTAAACAATGTTTTTAATCCGACTAAAAGAACAGAAATGATTCCCCTAAATTAGCAAAACTATTTAATTGCCCGGTTGCCAGCAAACCAATGAAAGTCCTGTCCAGATAATTTTATCTTGTTTTGTTTTTCTTTGAAGTGGAAAATATAGCAATAATTTTGTTCCTCCATCATTTTACTGCAATATATGTCCATGCCATTTACAACAGGTATCCAAATATAGCATGTGAGCTGCTGACAAGTGATGTGGGAGTGATCAATGATAAGCTGGGTAATGAGGAGCCACTCCTGGAAAGCCTGTATGCCTTCCTGGAGCAGCCATCCCCACTTAACCCCCTCCTGGCATCCTTCTTTAGCAAAACTATTGGGAACCTCATCACACGGAAGACTGAGCAGGTAACACACACGTACACCGCTACATCAAAAGGGCATGCTTAATAAAGATGACGGTTACATTTTTGTGATGTTGTTTTCAGTTAATAAGTCTGAGGCAAGTTAATGGAAAATACTCACAAAAAATGTACTTTCACCCAAAATTGTTTTAAAATTCTGTTTCTTTTGAGGTGCCAACATGCATGGTTTATTTTACCCTTTTAGTGTCCGAGTTGATGATTTTAGTGTAAGATTGCTTGTTTATGAAACAACACATAATCAAAACTGTCCCGTATCAGAAGGGAATTATTTTAGTGAACCATTATTGTCCAAAACAACTTAACTCAAAAATGAATGGCTGGACTGCAGCTTATATAGTCTTCCATTTAAGGCTAACATTCCTGCTTGTATTAAGCCAACTAAAACATAAAGAAAGCTTATTACCTCTACATTTCATTTGCTCTGAACTTTGTATATATTTGTGTGTGTGAATAGAAGCTCATTTGATTCTGATGTGGGGTTTCAGATTTTTTAGAGTAGCTTTTTAAGACTTTAAGTAAGGCAACTATCTCACCTATATCATGACCATAAGGGACAGTCACTGGAGCAGCTGTCACCGGGTGAAACAGAGTACAACCCGAACAGTTGCTCATGATGAATTGAATCATAATTGAACTGAATCTGAATCAGAATACTTGAAATTATGTGGTTATAGTTGCTCGAACGAAGTTAAACAAATATTGCACAGGGAAGATGGCGTAATAGAAGCATTTGTTATATGTGTGTGTGTGTGTGTGTGTGTGTGTGTGTGTGTGTGTGTGTGTGTGTATAATGGTTTATCTGTCTTTGTACTACGGTGTCACCCACAGTGTTAGATTTTATTGCATTTCAAGTTGTATTGCTCAAATAGCAGTATATCGTTTGGGAAATAGTGTCACATTTATGCAGCGCGAGTCAGTCTTGAGAAATAATACCACTTGTTTGACAGCAAGCTCCTTATCCCATTCTTCAGTTTCCTGTTTTGTATAATCATTATTTTCTCTGCTTTCTGTACTGTTTAGGTGATTAGTTTCCTGCAGAAGAAGGATGGATTTCTTTCCTTGGTCCTGAAGCATATTGACACGTCAGCCATGATGGATGTGCTCCTACGCCTTATCAGCTGTGTGGAGCCACCGCCTCTACGACTGGAGACACTTACTGTATGAGACAAATAGACCCACATTCAGAATTTCACATAAATCTGATTTATTTATTTATTTATTTTTTTAATTATTATTATTTTTGTCTAGTTGTAAAGCAATATTTTTCTCAACAGTGGCTGAATGAACAAAAACTGGCCCAGAGACTCATAGAGCTCATTCACCCTGAGAGGGATGAAGAGGTAGTGGAGAATTTCATAATTTTTAAATTTAACAAATATTTTATTTTGGTCTTTAAAAGTGTGCCATTGCTTTTATTCACAACGAAACCATTCATAAGACTGAGTGTCCAGATGTGATTGTTGTTTGTTTGATTTTTGCCCAACACAGAGGCAGTCAAATGCATCGCAGACTTTGTGTGATATCATTCGTCTGAGCAGAGACCAGGCCAGCCAGCTCCAAGAGATTTCACAGCCTGACCCACTGCTGACTGTGCTTGAATCGTAAGTTGGAAAGACTCACATGCACGCAGGTTTATGCTCTCTAAACAGGATGCAGCGATACTAACGTACTCCGTTTTGTTTATACAGGCAGGAGTGCGTGGAGCAGTTATTGCAGAATATGTTCTCAGGAGAGAGAACTGAGAGCTGTATCGTCAACGGGATTCAGGTTCTTCTGACCTTACTGGAGATCAGGAGGCCTGTGTAAGTGAGAAACCTCGAACAATTTCTAACAGTGTGAAGCTATTCCAGCTAAGTTTCTCTTTACAAAGCTCTCTGACAAGCCTTCTCATTTAAAATTTGGGCATTTTAATCTCTTTTTAAACATTTGTTAAAGTTTATTTTATATCCCTATTTATTAAGCCTTCCCAACATCTATTTTGAGTTTTCTGTTTTTGTTCCTCTGTCTTTATGGCAGGGTGGATGGTGTAATGGATGCTCAGGGATTTGAGAGAAGCTACACTGTTAACAGCAGTATTTTGTTGGCCATCCAGCCACACTTGATACACTTCCACCAGCTACTTCTGGAGCCACCCAAGGTACATAAACAAGTCTTTCTATGATGAATGATAATGTAGCCGCTTGAGGGTATTTAAGATTGTTGTGTGAGCGTTTCCCTAGGTGAGAACGGGCTTTTAGGAAATCAGGTATCAATAAATTCAGTCTGTCCACATACATTCCATTTTGTATGGAAAATCAGGAATCCCCTGTGTATTTCATCAAGGTGTTAGTGCTCAGTTTCAAAAATGATGAAATTGCCCAGTATAAAAGTGCAAGCTCTTTTAGCTCAAGTCATGCTGCATGACGCAGGCTTTCTTTTGCTTGCTCCACCAGCCTCTTTCTTTATCAGGTATGTTTGAGTCTCTGCTGTTTACATGCCGTTGTTGTACAGTAGTCAGACCTGTATAACAAAACAAAAACCTCTAGATCGTGTTTCCCCAAATTCCTCTGCCTTTTATCCATGTAGCGAGAGCCTATGCTGACGACTTTGGGTGTGCTGGAGGAACCGCTGGGGAACACGCGTCTGCACGTAGCCAGACTAGTGGCTTCTCTGCTTTATACCAGCTCTGCTAGCCACGCAGTCGTAGCACAGGAACTCTGCAGACTCAATACACTGAACCTCCTTCTGGTGAGAAAATCTGCTGCACTTTTGACAATTTATTTATGTTGAGAAAACATTACGTGTTAAATACCCCTTTGAAAAATACAGGACCTGTTCTTCAAGTACACCTGGAACAACTTTCTGCATCTCCAAGTGGAGCTTTGTGTTGCTGCTATCGTCCGGCCCTGTGCCCACGAAATGAGACTTCAGCCTGGCTTGGTTACCCAGGAAAAAGTCAAGCCTCATCCAGATGCAGCACCAGAACAGGAGTTGAACGAGACCCCGACTTCTGAACTATCAGACAGATCTGAAAACTCTGCTCATAACCTAATGGTGACTCATGTGAGTGTCTCTGCTTGTATTTGTGAAGTAGAAGGGTTGATCTACAAGAATGGGCAATGTGGCATCTCTTTCGGAATAAATAAATAACTGATTGACTCAATGTTTTTGTTTCCCAAGTTGTTTCAGCACTGCCACCTCGTCCAAAGGATTCTAGAGGCTTGGGAAGGAAATGATAAAATTCAGTAAGTAACTTTTAGATCTTTACATGAATTTGTGGCAATTGGCGGTAATCTCTGGGTTTCTCCAAGTGTCATATCTATTTGTTCAGGTCAGATCGTGGTATGCGACGAGGCTACATGGGGCATCTGACCAGGATCGCCAACACAGTGGTGCACAATCTGGAGAAAGGCCCGGTTCACACCCAGATCAGTAGCCTCATTGCAGGTGTGTATGTGTTTGTGGACACATGGACTCATTTCTGTGTGGAAGAAAGCAGTAACTACCACGAATCACACCAAACTGGCTTATGGCTTTCATAATGCTGCTGTTGTGTGTTTGCATGTAGAGCTGCCAGAGGACTACAGAGGGCGCTGGGAAACCTTTGTAGATCAAACGCTGTCTGAGACCAACAGAAAGAACACCATAGACCTGGTAAATCCTAATTCGTGCACATCTGTAGAATTAAGAACCTGTTTTTCATTACACACACATTCAGAGTTTTAAGCACTGCACAAGTGTTGATCTTTCCATGTTAAGGTTGGCACTGGCAACCCTCGTCCTTCCTCAGAGGATGATATGGAGAGCCCCTTCCCCAAAGAACTGACAGTACAGCAGGTATGCGTACACACACACATAAGCACATATTTAAAATATTTCTTGCTTCTCTTATGGGCTTTTGTGCTGTAATTATATTTGTTATGATCTGTTTTTAGGCCTTTTCAGACTACCAGATCCAGCAGATGACAGCTAACTTTGTGGATCAGTTTGGCTTTAATGATGAGGAGTTCACTGATCATGATGACAGCATTGGGTAAATTAGCTGACATTTTTCTCAAGTGATGGTTTATTCTTATTTCACTCGTGTGTGCGGAGGGTGTGAATCCTGGTTCTTTTTGCAGGGCAACTTTTGATCGGATTGCAGAGATTAATATCAATATTGATGCTGGCCATGACAGTGTAAGTTGATTTTAAAGGGGTTTTCTTTCTTTCCTTAGGCTGTAAATATTTTTGTTCATTCTTAACTATACATTGTTTTTTGTTTTTAGGCACTGAAGCTCCGAAAACAAACCTGACAGCTAATTATTTTGTTTGTTTTTTGTGCAGGCTAACACAGCTGTATTTGAGGCTTGTTCCAAAGAGAGGATTCAGCCCTTTGATGATGAGGAGGAGGACATCTGGGAGGAGAAGGAGATTAACTATGCAACACAAGCCAAGTCCCGGAACAGGTAACTACATGGCTTTAAATAAAGATGCTCTCAACATCTTTATTATTATCATTATTTTTGCTTCAAAATGATGGTTTTGTATTCCGTGCAAATTTCATATGTTTCAAGGTTTGGTGGGTCACAGTCCTCCCAAAGCCAAGCAACCAGTAAGACCTGTGACATGACAGAAACTTGTGAGAGCTCCAGCAGAGCAGCAGACTCAGACTCTGACGAGGGAGAAGACCCTAAATATGATCTGGACCCTTTTGCAAGTCCGGACCAGACCGAGGCAACAACGAGTGAGATATGATATATCGTGTATAATTGTTTTGCCGTAGTTGTATTTTAGGTCTAAAGCAGGTTTTAAGTGTCACATGTCATGTATGTATGCTCTTGTTTGTTTGTTTTTTCAGGCACTGGATGGGTAGCAGACTTTGGAGAAGTGAATTCAAAGGCTCCTGCAGCAGGAGCGGGCTTCTCAGCCTGGGACGCTCCAGTGTCTCAGCCAGCTGCAACAGAGGCCGAGGAGAAGGGATGGGCCAAGTTCACAGACTTTCAGCCTTTTTGCTGGTGAGTTTGGGTGCATTATATGTAAGGAGAGTTCATTGTCTAAAAAGCATCTAATTAAAATTATAAGACTATATATCTCGTGATGATTAATATTTTATTTAAAGGAAATGCTCATTTGGCATAATTTTTTCTATGATAGAAAGACGTACTTTTCAGAGGAAACTCGAAGTAAAACTAAAAAAAAAGGTGCAAAAAAGTCTAAAAACCATGAGTTTTTCTTTTTTAAAAACATTACAAAATTTCCTCCCTGCCCAGTGACACGTTTTTTGAAGTGGTAGTGCAAAGGAGAACATTTGTGTTCAAAACTAACGACAAACCATTTTAGTCACATGACCAGTATTGTTAGGATATGTTCACCAACACTGAACACTGTGCATAATTTTTCTATTTGAAACTATTTAGATCGGCTCTTAAAAAAAAAACAAAGATATGGACTTCTCCATATCTTTTCCATATCAAGGTTTTTTCCATACAGTGCACATTCTGTTGTAGGCTATTCCAATCACTATAAACAGCAAGTCCAAGGCAGAGCTTTGCTTTACAGATGTTATATCTTCTTGAGACTTTATTACTTTTCTCTGGATTTTTGATCTGGATTGGTGGATTCTTTAAGAGGTGAAGTAGACAAGGTATTCATTATCAAAGGTGATAGCTAATAAGCCTTTCAACATTGATGCATCTGTCATTAGTGGCAGGGTCACTGTTTACAGCATAGTGGGGCAGTACAGATTAATAACATTAAAACTTTTGTTAGATTAACATTAGGGCTGTGCAATATGACCAAAATCTCATATCCCAATATAAAACATCTATTGTCCCGATAATGATATAACTCACAAAAAATTTAATATTTTCTGTAAATTCTGTGACTCTCGTGTAGGTGAAGTGTCTCCAGCTGGGCATCATGTACCTGGAGTCGAGTGTTTTAACCGATGCATGAAGCTATACATTTTTAGACATAAGTTGTAACGGCCGCCGTTTTCTTTGTGAGTATTTATTGCACGGCGTGCTGCAGGGAAAGCCTGTTCTAACATTTGAGTCTAAGGTTTATTTTTTAGCACCTTTTTTTTTTTTTGCTTCTCATCCGTCAATACTCTGCATACTTTTTCACGTGATTCAGTTTCTTTTCAAAAATTCTCAACAGGATCTTGAGCTTTATTGTGAAAGGTTTATGTGGAAAATAAACAAGCGGACATGCGATGGCATTACCGTCGTTGTTGCTAAGGACAACCCATAAAAACAGGCGGTTGTCTGTCTGTAGTGTGGTTATATTAAATATAAGAGAAAGAGAGAACTTTTAAGAAATTAATATAGCCACTACAGTGACCATCAAAACGATGAAAAAATATTGCCGTAAACAGTTTATTTTGCGACACCACGAAACAAATGATAGCGTAAAATTAAACGATAGACGTTTTTATATCGTCATCCGATATATATCGTTATATCGAACAGCCCTAATTAACATGTTAACTTGTGTTAGTTTAAATCATTGAAAGCTTGAGCTGTTGTGGGGAACACAAATCGTTTATGCGATTTGGCTTCTACTCTACATTCGCATGCAGTGCCATACTGTGTTCTTTGCTAGCTGTTGTGAACAAACTGAGTGCCTTTTCCTAGTCATTGATTTTGCATCTGATTTTACAAGTATCACAGGTAAACAAATACAACCTCCACATACAAAGGGTGTGTGTAGTTTATTAGATGCAGTGCATTTTCTCTCTGTTTTATTATTTGTGTGACTTATGTCCAGCAGCTCTGAAACAGGCCCGAGATGCAGCTCACCTGTGGACTCAGAGCTCAGTGGATCAGACATCCCCAAACCAAACCAAAACCGTAAGTAGCCTCAGAATGACTGACTGTGAATATTTTGTAACACTTCACTCAAACATAAAAAAACTACAGAAATGGTAAAAAGTCTCCACTGTATTTCTATTCAACTCCATATATCATGGTCCACAGGAAGGATATCTAAATGACAAGGCCTCTAACATCTCTATCAGTCAGTTGGTTAACTTTATGGCAGGTAGGGCTGCTCGATTATGGCAAAAATGATAATCACGATTATTTTCACTGAAATTGAGATCGCGATTATTTGACGATATTTATTTAACCCTTTAAGACCTACCATAGAACCAAGTCCGCCAGAGCTTATATTATTTTTTTACATGTTGTAGTGCCATTTGTGGGAGCATTTCAAGTTGCTAAATAACTGTTATAGCCCATATTTTAATAATATGTATGCATTAAGTCCATACATTAATTGCAAAAAAGTGCAATAAACTACAAAAAAATTTATATCGTTTTTGTTTTGTTTTTTTACATATATTTCTACTTGGAGAAATTTAAGAGGTTTATCCCTCAAAACTTTAAATACAAAAAAGTTGCAAAAAATAGTTTACAACAACAGGAAATTTATTTTGAGTGTCTTCATAGTTTTATTTTGGAGATACACCAATTTTTATATACTGCAGGAAAAACAAAAAAAACAATCCTATGATGCAAATTTGCAAAGAAAACAGCATGTGCATCAAAATAAACTATTTCCAGCAGTGCAAGCATCCCAGAAACTATTCAGAAAAGTCAAACATGACCAGTAGATGTTTTTAAGGCCTACAAGTAAAAAAACTACATTTCTGCGAAAATGACGTCACTTCCGGTTTCGGCCAGGAAATGGCGGACATGCGACAGTTCGCGCTGACGTCTGTTTCACTGTGGGAAGTGTTACGAACAGCTGATCGGATCGGCAAAGCGTGTTTCTGGAATATTATGTTTTTGTTCCTGCAAGCGCTTTTTATGCAATTATTGCAAAGCTTTATGTGGAAGGAAACCGTGACCGAGGACAAGCTGATGGCATAAGATGTAAGTACAACTCCTCCGGTTTCATATGCAAAACAAATTATTGCGCTAGCTTACATGGTTCAGGTTCTACAGGGATTTAAAAATAGTTACACAAAACGGAGCATGCTGCTCTGACCGGATTTAAAGGGTTAACAATGACTTTAAAAAATAATATAAAATAGTGTGCAACACCACTGAAGTTTTTTTTTTTTTTTTTTTACCTCTCTTTTCAACCAACAGCAGTCACTCTCCTCTCCAAATAACTTCTGCTTAGCTTTCCGAGCTTTCCGAGCTTTCCGAGCTTCCCTCGGGTCCTCTTAATCAGCGGTCTCCAACCTTTTTTGCGCCACAGACCGGTTTATGCCTGACAATATTTTCACGGACCGGCCTTTAAGGTGTCGCGGATAAATGAGGGAGGGGCTAATAATCGGCTCCGTCATTTTTAATGATCGTTGAAAGCCCAGATCGTAATCGTGATTAAAATTCGATTAATTGAGCAGCCCTAATGGCAGGTAAGCTTTTCAGATAACCATGCATCAATTTTACAAACTGTTTCTTTCCTGTTAATCTCAACAGCGTGTGTGTGGAGTGTTTGCGTGGCAAGGAAAGCACCACTAGTGGCATCAGACAGCTCCTCCTCCAGCAGCTCCGACAGCGATGAGGAAGAAAGAAAGACAGAATCCACATCCAGTGAGACGGTCACCACAGAGACCATCACCACAGGTGCTGGCAAGGAGACCATCCGGCTCACCGTTGACGCCAAAAATGAGAGGGCAGTCTTCAGCAGGTGCACATTCTCTCACACAAATAGGGAGCTCCTGTTCTGTCTGGTCCAGTGTGCCAGGCTTTGATAAAGCCCTCCTTTCCCTTTGCTCTCCTGTACAATTTTGCTTCCCCTTCTCTGCTTTTTTTCTGATTATCCTCCTCCCCCTGTTTGTTCCCTCCTTTCTCATCTCCCCTTGACTCCAGAGTATTCAGACCTGCAGTCAGACGGTATGTTGTGCTTGAGGTCCTGTGCTCTGAAGTGTGGAATGCTTCCTGGAGTTGTGTTAAGGATTTAAGATGCGTTTTGCTTGTTGCCTTTAACAGGATGAGGAGTAATGATTCCTTATGGCATAATTCAGGCCAAGCCTAATTCATAAAAAAGAAAATCCACTAACTCCAACCTGGTGACTTGTAGAGTCTCTGTATTCTCTGTGATTCTCAAATATAACAGAAATTCACTGTGCATTTATGAAAGAAAAGATGGTTGACTATTTGTTACCTTACTTGTTTTATACAGTATAATGATGAGAGAAGAGTAGCATATTAGTGCTGATTGTAATGATGTGATATTTTGGTTTTATTTTTAATCATAACATTAGGGCTCGATATGATTTTTCATTCAGAGAACCCTCACCACTAACGGTCTGTTGGATAGCATGCTATGAATAAAGGTTGCCACCTATCCAATTTATCAACATCCTAACAAACCAGTACATTAGCAAATTACTAACAGTGCACCAACGAGCATGCTGGAGTTAAAGTCCAATCTGAACTCAGTGGACAGCGGGGACAGAGGCCACAGATCAGAGCAGATGGAGACAATTTAGCAAGCAGCAGAAAGGAGCATCTACAGTACTCAGTTCAGCTGTCACTTGTTTTCGTAGCTAAAGCTGTAATTCTTGTTTTGTTTTTTTTCAGCGACGTGCCAGTGGAAGGGCTCGCTAACGATAAAGAAAGTGGCAAAGGTGAAAAAGGAAAGCAACATGAGAACAGTTCCAGCCCAGTTACTGCTGATTCGGCTAACCAGGCAGCTGCTGTTACACAGTAAGTTTGCATTTGTGTGTTTTGTATAGAGATGAATAGAGGGATGAGATCACCAAACATTGCATCAGTGATTCATCCCTGTCAAAGCACCTCTTTATGTGAGAGCTCTTTGACGAGTCACCGCACAACCTACGCACATTTCTGACCTCAAGAACAGAGGTGTAACCTGTCATATCTAATTGGCTGCATTTCTTAGAAGCTTTAAGGAGTATTAAATCATGAATGTTTTATCTACGTCCAGGGCAGCCAAAAATAAACAATTTTACATCACTTACAGGACTGTTGTGGTGATTTACAATTCCAGAAATGGGAGATTTTTGGCCTCTTTGTTGAATAATTTAGTTTCTGTCATACAACAACATATAGCATCATTGCATAGGCTGTAGATGGATACTCTGCTGTAGTTGAGCAGTTTTTCTTTCTTTAGTAAAAGTTACTGAACCCCAAATTACAGTTGGAACAAATGAAAGTTTATGAAGTATGTAAATGGTACAAATTTTTCTTTTTAAAGATCTATTCTTTAGAGACACGTGTCACATGTGACACAAGTGCAATATAGATTACATGCTGAAGGAATATGTTGTACACATGCAACCTGCTGAGCACTGAATAAATCCCAGTTGCAAAGTTATTACATGTATTCACCATGCGATGCAGAAAATATATAAATTAATTTAAATTTTTTAATTAAAGATTTGTAAAATATATAAGCATAAGTTAAATTATACTTGGTTCTAATCTTTTGTAATGACCCCTTTGCACAGCTGGAAAATCAATTAATAGAATACAGGTTAGTTAAGAATACGTATTCAACAAATCAAATTTATTTCACTTTGATCTCGCAAAAAAACTACAGGGAGGCCATAAGAGGATGTGTGGAACAATGTAAGAACTGTTTGTAAGGTTATATTTGTAAAGGTTTATAATGTTCAGCTGCCATGTTAGAAACAAACAGCAGCACATATTGTAGAGTCCAAGGAATGGTGCATTTGTGATGGTCATGAATTCACAAGATTAAGATTTTTCTGCAGCTTTACAATTGAATTTTCTTTGCAGCCACAGTGCATATTATAGTCCATTTTCCTACTCTCTTGTCAGTTTTTAAAAAAATATTTTTTATTAGATCATCTCTCCTTCCTTTAGGTGAAAATATGGGCTAGTGAACAAATAGACTGTACATAAAAGATGTACACACCCATCATGATATTACCTGTTGGTTTTGGATCTAAAGCCTTGGTGTTGTGCTAAGGTAATGATAACAAGCTGGATTTCCAAACTTGAATGGGCCAGTGTCGTTTGACATGCATAGCAACAGTAGCCACAAGGAAACCAACTCGTCTGAATTCTCTCTTTTTTTTTCTTTCTTTTTTTTAACTGACAGAGAGATGCAGTCCCCCGCTAATGGACCGGCCTAACGAAGTGGTGCAGGAACACACTTCATACCTGATCATTCAACACACAGCCACGCCACCTTTGCTTCCTGTTAGCAGTCCATCAATACCCTCGTTTGTGTCTAAAAGACGTGTAAGTGAATGGAAGATCCTTAGTGCAGAGCTCGAGCAGTATTTATAATGGATACCAGAAATCAACACATGGGTACTAGTGATGTCTCTAATGCGCCTTCATGACATCATTATAAATGAACCGCTTCAAAAAGAATTGTGTGTTTTATAAAAAACATTTCATTGTGCCAGGCACACCAAAGGCAAACTGTGTTACATACGAACTTTTTCAAGATGAATTTCTTTCCCGTTAAACTTGGAAATGTAAACACCTTTATCTGTCGGGATCTACTGATGTGCCAGCTGCACTTTTAATGTTAAGAAAACACCCTATTCTGAAATTTGACATTTTATTAAATTAAGCACCGGGATTTCAGATTATTTGGGTCTGTCTGCTCTCCAGGTATAAATATGGTCCAGTGGATTTTTTTCTGTTTTCTAGGAGAGCATTTGACTGTTTACACTTTAGTAACAAAAAGCATTCAAATAATCAGCCAAGATTACAGACGCCAAGATGCTTGCAAAGCGCTAGCTAGCTGCCATTTTGTGTACAACATTTCAGTCTTCGTGCCGGGCAGACAGGTCATTATAGCAAATATGCGACTTATCTGATCATTTCTCAGTCAAGTAAGTTTTTATCTCCTTTGATCACATGACGCGCAAGTGCTCTCTATTTGTTAGTTTGGAGCATTGGATTTGGGGGCCTCGCGTGTGTCACTTCCTCCTCCTGAAAGATTCAAGTAGTTTAGGGGTACGTGTGTGCCGGCGTGTGTGTTTGAGCTCTGTCTGAGGTACAGAGTACGTTTCTCAGGTCAAAGGAGAGGTATGCAGATAGAAAGAAAGCACACCTGTGTAACACACACGCAGACACACAGTGCCATACACACACAAGTGTACACAACCATATCTAGATGCAAAAAAAAAAGGAAAAAAATGGCAGCCCACGTATAAGTTCATACCACCCTCAGAGCTGTTTAAATGTAATATTGTGAAATTTGAACCTGTATTAGGTTGTGGCTCTTCTTGGTAATCTGTAAACGTAATATAAATGTAAACAGTATATATATAAACATCATATCTATTTTTGGAATAAATCCAGTGTACGGCAAGGCGGTTGTTTTGCAGGTTGCGATGTGTGTATCGTATGTGTGTCGTACTGTCGAAATGAGGCAATAATGATGTCTGTGTTTCGGTTAATAGGCCAGCATCAGTTCATGTTTCTTTGCTACATGCTTCCTACATGGCAGTTTAGGAGTGTGCATGCTGTGAATACGAGTTGGTCGTCTACGGTACGTCTTCCATTTTGTTTATTTTGAGGATGATTCTTGTTAATGACAACTTGGGTCTTTTTTTTTTTCTTTATTTCCACCCTGTATCAATTTTAAACCCATTTTGCATAATTTAAATAGTCAAATTCAGGGGGAAAATTATGATAAACAATAAAATAGTCCATGTACTGCTTTTTGATCATATCGTTTGTGTACGCATGTGTTTCCACTGTAACAACGGTGATTAATTTAAACTGGATCTGAACAAATGTGTTTGTTAGAGCAATAATAAATCAACAGAAGCACATTAGGCACAGGTTTTTATAATCGGTAAATTAATGTTGCCTAATTTAGCTGCTCCATTTCCTGCTTTAACTTCATTTTGGATTTTCAAAAGACCGGTCAGACCAAAACACTTAAATTTACTTGGCAGATTAGAGGTGCCCAGTGGAGTTTACTTACAAAGGAAATATTGTGACCTCAGGTGTCATTCACCAAAACCCATTGTTCTCTAAGAAACGTCTGGAGTGCATTTCCTTTTGCAATGCTAATTCATTGGTAGATATTTCAAATCCAGCATTGTTTACGTTCTTGCTTACTTGGTAGCAGTCTTGTTCTTCCTGTCGATCAGTGTAGTGTCTGCAGCCACTTGCAGGAATGTGTAACATTACTCACATTCTTGCACAAGTGGAGCAATGGCAAGACGCAGAAAAAGGTGCGATAGAACTGCTAGAGGCCGAGAATTCCGGGGGGGGGAACTTGAGTCGGTAATGAAAGTCAACATTAGTTGCAGCAACACCATCAGTGCTCACTGAGGTGGCACGCCATTAAGTTAGCTGTCTGATCTTTCCTGCTTCATCAAATCTATGCTTGTTATAAACAGTTAACCGGTTTAATCCAGTCTGGTCATAATCAGATTACATTAAACAACACAATACGTAAGAAAACGTGACCCAAGTTGTACTGAATTATCCTTTAAAATCTGTGTGTGCCAGACAGTCATCCTTTACGTCATCTTTCTCCTCGTCTCTCTCTTTCTCAGGGTAGGAGTCGAATTAAATTGCATTTACCTATGGAACGATTCTCTGAGATTGTTGTATTTATTTTAAAAGCACTTTTTCAAGAAGCACTTTTTGGTTTTTGGTTTTTTAATTTGGTGGCGCTAAGCGCCCCTACGTAATTCCCTCCCTCAGAGCGATGGGAATGTTTGACTTGACGAGTGAATCACGTAGACACTTTAGAATATCTTTTTGTTGTTGTTTTTTCTTCAATGCTTTCTGCCAAAGTGTGTCTTCCCACCAGTGTACAACTGGGTTTCATATCTGTGAAGTAGCCTCTTTTCTTGCAGTGGTCTTAGAGGTGTAGATTTATCTGAAGCAGCCTTTGTTTGATCCATTGCTCATGTTTTTTTTTTTCTTTGTGAATCATGTGATGGAGTTATTAGCTGGAGAAGAGAATGCCACAAGTCAAAGAAAGACTTTGAAGATTCGTCTTAGATCACAGCTCTTTCTTCCTCCTCTGCTTTCATCTGTTCACCGCTTTGAGCCATTTGAAGTGAAACTGCACAGAGCTAGCACCGCTTCGTTGTCAGGGTTAAAAGAGGAAAAATAGGGCTGCGTTTGTCAGGGTTGTTCACATGGTCAGAATATGGCATCCCACCCGTCACTAAGCCTAAGCAGTGCTTCTGGCCTATACCATTTGTGTGTATGTGTATTTAATGCGTGTTTGTGTGCCCCCTTCAGTTTGAGTGTTTTAGCTACGGGTATGTTGTCACATTATGCATAATGGTACGTTGCATTCATCTCTAAGTGCCATTAAGTTTGCACATTAGCCTCGTTCACCTCTTTTTGGGCATTCGCTGTATTGCACAGTGTGTGCCCCGAACTTTATTGAGAAACAATGGGTGTGAAGTTGTTACTTACCAATTACTTATTATTTACACTGAGACCATTTCAAAGTTTTTTTCTCACATTATAGCTTATTATTATATTAGGGCATGTGTGTGCAGATGTGTGGGGGAGTGGTGGGAAAAACAGCCGTGTGGTTAAATGCCTTTTTTTGTAAAGCGGACTGATGCTGGTGTCTTTGTTTTTGGGTTCTTTTTTTCATTTAGAGTAATGTGTCTGTTACCTGTTGTCAATTTAGCTTGTACATTCAGATATGAACCTAATAAATATGTCAAAGATAAATACGCCTCTGTTTGTGTGACGCTTACTGTAAAACACACACACACCACACAGTACACAGAGAGAGAAAGAGTCAACAGGACATGGTCTTTGGAATATGTTTACCTTAAGGGAAGTTGAACAGGTGGATTATGTTGGGTCCCCGTCTCCCACACATACAATCAGTGCTACACCCTCACAGTGTCTCCCCTGCTGCAAACATAAACCTGCCTGTCAGTTAGATGTCAGTGTGCTGCAGGCATCAAGTAAAGTTGGTTCACATAACAGCTGAGAAGGACCTGAAGAGCCTTCATTTGTGCTCATTCGCTTCACTTACATTTCAGTTTTTCAGCCTGTGGTCCTCTCTATATGTAGCTACCGTTTTACCCGTGGGTGTATGGCTTCTTTCCTGAGCTTAGATGTTTGTCATACTAATCCTGGAGCACAGATACTGTTAAGTCTTAAGAGGTAAGACTCTTTTCTACCATTCTCCCTGCCTTCTTCCCTTCTTACTTACTTTTGCACCAGGGAAAAACAAACAAACACCTTTTTAGGTTTTGATCCACACCTGCCTGCTCTCTCTGCGCAGAGTGCATGAAGGAGAGTCTGTTTGCAGTGGGTGGAAAAGGGAAGAAGGCGGAGTTGTGTTTTTGTACTTTTAATGGGTTGTGGAGAAACCTGCCTGTCTGCTTGGAGCTGGGAGAGGAGGAGCCTGTGGGGTGTGGGACTTCAGACAAAGGAGACATAAACACACTGACACTGGATCACTGGAGCAAAAAAAGAGTAGGAGACGACTAAGGGAGACGATTCCCAACTCTTGGACTACTTTTTCTCTATATTTTGGAGAAAACAAACTTTATGTAGAGGAGATTTTTGAGGGGGGGTGTGATACCTTGGATCGGTTTGTGAGCTGAGACATGTTTGTGTTGGAGAAGTGGTGGCCATATGTTGCCCAGACTGTGTAGAAGTGTGTGTGTTTGGGATGGAAAAGTGGAGCTGGCACGATCAACATTTCTGCTCTTAGCTTCACGCCATGGGGGGGTGCCATAGTTACCCCTCGGCTAAAGAAGCAGACGGGAAGACCCTTCAGCCCTCTGACATCAGCAGTGACAAATTGTAAGTTATATCTCTTTTTCTCCTTGTTTTTTTTTTTTATTGCATTTCTTTGTTTGTCCTGTCAATCTTTTACTACTTCTGTATTTTTGATAGAACAAACACTCATGTTAAAAAGAGGACAATACTTATATCTGTTAATGGTGTGTAAGAAATGTGACTAGAAAGCTGGTTGCACATGGTTTACTCAGGAATGTTCTCCAGATAAGACTGTGTGCGTGTGTGTGTGTGCGTGTGCGTGTGCGTGTGTGTTACATATTTGCCTGATGCCATCAGTGACGGTGGATTCCTCTAACAGCGGGAACACATTATGAGCAGCAGTTAAAACTAATATGAGGAAAGGCACTGGGAAAATGTGTTTTATCTGAGTTACTAGGCAAATGTTTTGCTCCAGGTTGAATCTTTTACAGCCAGCTCGCTGTAGCGAAGAGAAACCCGCTCATGGACAAAGTAAAAGTGGACAGATGGCCGAGTGCAGGAGAGCAGGGTCACAGAGGAGAGTGTTTACACAAAAAACACAACATGACAACTAGCTTTGGGTTCTTTGTTTTTGTGTGCTGACAACCTGTAGCCAAGAGAGGAGGTGACTGAGTTAATGTCAGTGAGCTGTAACAGAGCAGGATGTGAGCAGCTGATGTTCCTGTGGACATTAGGAAAGTTTGTCATGGCTTGGCAAAGCTTTGCTCTACTGTACCTTTGCACAGCTAATGTTTACATTGATTTCTGACACTCTTCCTCCCTTTCTGACTGCTCTGACCTTTCACGTTTGACAAAAGACCTCCTGTTTAAACCTTTACACAAATGATCCCTGGCAGCCACTCTCTCTCACACACACTAACACATTTATACAGGGGGGAATGAAACCCCATGGAGAGTACTGTGTTTTCCTTATCACAGCAGGCAAGGTCATACTAAGTAAACCCTCAGCTGTTGTGTGTGTGTGTGTGTGTGTGTGTGTGTGTGTGTGTGTGTGTGTGTGTGTGTGTGTGTGTGTGTGTGTGTGTGTGTGTGTGTAAGAAAGCTGAGCGTGACAGCTGCCTGATCCACTACACTTTTAATATTGCAAAGTCTTGACTAAAAGTCTGAGTTAGCCTGCTCTGATCAGGAGCAACTATCCTGCATCCCTGCTTTGAATAAAGTCAAATTCTGCTGCCAGGTTTGACTCTCCATCACACTGTAAACATCATACATTCCCAGTATTCTCTATCTATATTGTCACACCTTCCTGATTAATAAGCCCTGTCTGTAGCTTATCAGTAGGTGCAGTATATAAACCGATGTAGGAAAAAGAGATGTTTTCCCAAAGAGGGTTGGCCTCAGCACTCGGCTCTACATTATCCTGCACAATCTTGCTCAGTTATTTGCTTTCCAGCATTGACCGCTGCAGCAGTCTGCTTCATTAACAGTAATTACGCTGGATCTGAATTGACTGCCTTCATTACATTAACTGCTGCTGTATTGGATGTTTAGGTCTGCAGTCACAGCAGTGCTCGTATGTTTCAATGTGTGTGTGTCAGCCAACACAGAGCAAGATAGATGAAAGAACTTAAAACATCATATCTACTGAGTGCAGCAGCAGTCATTAATCCACTGACCCGTTGGTCGTTAGACACAGCGATATTTTTCGGTCTCCCACTCTTTCTCTTTCTGTGTCGGCTTCATTAACTCTGAACTGTCTTCTCAAGGGGGATTAATAACAATAACCAGGAAGCGCGTCCATATCTGCAGCAGCAGTATGTGTGTCAGCGGATCACACATGCAGACATGTATGCCCTCATAGCTCTGCCGCCTGGCGTCGACAAGGCAGAGTGGCTTGCCAGCAACAGTAAGTAGTAACAGATTTGTGTTTGGACTCATTTCTCTGTAGCTCTTTAACTCCCAACACTTTTCTTCTTTCTGCAAAAACAAAGAAGAAGAGAGAACAGCAACGTGCGCAAGATATAATGTTGCTGTGCTTATTTATTTTCTTTCCAGCTGTGGCATTTTTCAAGCATATAAACCTGTTCTCCAGTGCCCTATCAGAGTTCTGCACTCCCAGCACATGCCCAACTGCCTGTGGACCAGGCAACGCGTAAGTTACTCAGTATTATACTGCAAATTGTGGCACCGTATGCAGATACAAAAGCTGTTCTTGATGTATAATATAATATTATATTCATATTATATATGGGTAACCTTGCACACTATATCTGTTGCAGTCATTGGGGTAAAGTGCAAGCAATCAGCATGTGCTGAAGTAAAATGTCCAAGCTCCTAAATTATGTTTATGTGAATTGTTTTAAAAGTTCGTTTTTCCCTTTTTCCCAACACTACTGCCAGCAAACGGCCTTTTTGCTAACAGCATTAGGAGAGCTTGCATGAGGTTGACCTAAATGTACTATAATCAGTCTTTAAGCTGAGCTCTGAGCAGCTTCTCAGTCTTTATCAGCCCAGGAGTGCCATCACAATATTTACCCTTTAAAAAACATCAAGTACGGATTCTGTTGTTTCCATGTTGTGTAAACTTTTAGTACGCTTTCGTCCTCAGGGTTTATGTTTGGACTGATGACCATGGCAGGAAGCTTAAGTGCTCTGCTCCACTTTACTTTGACTACGCCATGTCATACATTCAGGACCTACTGACTGATGAAGACGTGTTCCCTACAAAAGCAGGTAGAGTGCATTTACATCGTGTGTTACCTAATTGCACGGCACGTTTCAGTTTCAGTTTTAGTTTTAAACTGTCATCTCTTCCTTGTTTCTCCAGGTGCAAAATTTCCGACAGGCTTCGTGTTTATGGTCCAGAAGGTGTTTCTGTTGTTGTTCAGGACAATGGCTCACATTTATTGGTCTCACTACACACAGGCCCAGCAGGTGGGTCTGCACCCGCACCTCAACACGCTTTTCATGCACCTGACGCTCTTCTGCCGGCACCATGAGCTGCTGGATCCAGAAGACACTGAGCCACTGCAGGACCTCATCACAGCTTTGGGACGACAAGGGTGAACTTAAAGGGCAGCCGCAGATATTGTACAATCACATCATTGCACGCTTATTTATTTCTTAAAGCTGATTGTCTCTCACCACTCTGGGCCAAATTTAAACGTATTCCCCAGTATAGATTTTTAAAGAAAGCTCTATAAGGAGAGCAATGCAAAGAAACAATGCTCCTGTTCTGTAGAATTGGACTGAAGTGTATGACTATTGCATGCTTTGTTTTGTTGTTGTTGGGGTTTTTTTTTTGCTTTTTTAACATAATGGTGCACTATTTTACTTTGATAAGGTCAAGATCTTCAAGGTCACTTAACCAAACAAACCCAGTTTGTGCCATTTTTGTATTTTGTGCACCGTGCAAAAATGCTGCATCTGCATCTTCATGTATTTTAGAGTACTTTGTAATAAATATTTGTGAGCCATTATCTGTACAGTGGAACTGAAAAGCATGCATACTTTATTTTGGAGAAATTAGTGAATGCAAAAAAGTGGAAAGAATTGGTTAAAGACAGGGAGGGACTTTGTGTTTGATCCTGAAGTGGGTGCTGGTGCTGTTTTATTTAGCATATTTTCAGGTCTTTGGTTTATAATCAGCGCCACCTGCTGCTAGTAAAGGAATCCAGCACGTATCACATTTTCCCTGCACCATCTGTAAATATTTGTTTACATACTGGATTTATGATTAAACTGACTTATGAGAGTTAAATGGTGGTTTTTCTGTTTTAATGTAAGGGTGTTGACAAAACATCTGGCTGCACTGGTTCTCTCATTTCAGATGTGAACGCCGTTTGAGGCCCACAAAGCCAAGGGATCACATACTGTAAACACTGAATTGTATGAATATTTTTGTTTCTTTTCAGAGTCGTCTTTTTTCTTTTTAGTGCTGCAAAACAAATAGAAAATGTGCCTCTTCAACATACAAACTCTACTGTACATTCTTCTTGGTTAACAGCGTTGTTTCTGGGAAGTGTCAGGCCACTCGAGCCACACTGCATTAAATGAGCCTAACGGGCCCTGTGCCATATGCAGTCTTGATCAAAAGTTTACGTTTAAAAATAGCGAAAAATCATATTTTGCATATTTGTATCTTAACATGGTTCCAGGTAGAGTTTCAACATGCAACAAGAAGAAATAGGAGTGAGACAAAACATTTTTTTAAGCATGCAATTTATTGAAAACAAAGCTTAAACTGAATCAAGCTGTTTGATTTCTGATTTGGGGGAGCTTAGTTTTTTTTAAGATGTGGTCTTAAACTTTTGATCAGCCATAAAAGTTCTAAACATTAACTCAGTAATGAGTAGCTCCACCGTTATTGTTGATCACTTCAAAAAATTGTTGCGGCATGCTTGATGCAAGCGTTTCCATGAGGTAAGTGGGAACATTTCTCCAAGTGGTGAAGAGAGCCGCAAGAAGGGCATCTACTGTCTGGAACTGTTGCCCATTTTTGTAAACTTCCCTAGCCATCCATCCATCCCCAAAGGTTCACAGGGAACATGCAGGATGGTCCAAAAGAGTGCTGTTATTGTCCTGGAAGAAGTCCCTTGTCCTGCGGGCATTGTGTACTGTAGCGTTGTCCTGTTGAAAAACCTAGTTGTTACCACACAGACCATGGCCCTGTCATGAGGGATGCTTTCTGCAACATCTGGACAAACCCAGCGCCCGTTTGATGCCCCTGCACCACCTGAAGCTCCTACTATTACTAATTATCCTTACGTATAATTAGTAATTTAAAAATGATGTGCTTACCCCTGATGGCATATATGTCAGCTATGCTTCCATAAACAATAAGCTCTCACCTCACTGCCCCCCCTCTTCTATTTATTAACACTATTTATTTACATATTTCTATTTTTACCCGATTGTATATTTGTACATTTTATATATTTTTTCTCTAAATACTGTTCATATGTATATAGTGCTGCAGAAACTCTGCACCCCCCACCACGTTTGCACCGAGTAGGAGATGCTCTGTAGCTCTGTATGTCTGTATAGTGACAATAAAGGTATTCTATTCTATTCTGTAGCTTCCAGGTCATATGAAAATCTGTTTTCATCTCTTTTTCTCGCATCTCATGCCCCAGATACAGACATAATCAGGATATATTATTGCTTGGCTATTTTTATTTAAAACATTTTTCCTTTGCCCAATATAAGCATGTAGTCCTATATTTCTCCACAAAGAGGCAGCAAAAACCCCTACATTTTACCGATAGACTTAAAAATACAAAGAAATTTGAAAAATGATTAACCTAAAAGAAATGTATTTATTCATTTCATAACTTCATTACTGAACAACACTGTTGCAAAAAATGATTGATCTCTCATTTCAACTGCAAATTCTGTTCAACTTAAAATGAAAACATGCCTCTTTCATTATACAGGGTGGGCCATTTATATGGATACACCGTAATAACATGGGAATGGTTGGTAATATTAAAGTCCTGTTTGTGGAACATTAGTATATGTGAGGGGGACAAACTCCTCAAGATGGGTGGTGACTATGGTGGCCATTTAGAAGTTGGCCATCTTGGATACAACTTTTGTTTTTTCAATAGGAAGAGGGCCATGTGACACATCAAACTTATTGGTAATGTCACAAGAAAAACAATGGTGTGCTTGGTTTCAACGTAACTTTATTCTTTCATGAGTTATTTACCAACATATTAGTACAGCACATCTTGTGGTCACACCCACCCTTAAAAATAAACGTTTATTCAGCACATAAGCAAGCCTTATATGGAGTGCTGCAGATGCATTAAAATACTTACGACTGACTTACTTGGGACGTAAACTGAGGAGGAGAGACAGGCCCTTTGGCCTACATACTTCAGACACCCTTAGTACTCGTGTTTCAGACCAAATAAAGGGTTTTTGTTTTTAAATCTTTATCTTGTTTGATTGTAGTGATATATATATGACATTTAGACACATAAAAACTTGCAAATGTAGACACAAAAGCCTTGGTGGAAGTTCCTTCCATGATTTTTACTGTGATGAACCTACTGTGTGCCATAGTTTTGTGGTAATCATTCCACAGTGAAAAGAGAGCTCAACAGAAAATGGAAGTTCTGTATTGCAAGTGTGTATGCGATGTGAATTCTGATTGATTTGAGTTGGATTACAGCTCATAACTGCAGCCAGATGGCTGATTTCCACTCAGATTTCAACCTGAGGTGTTCAGCAGACACAAAAGACTGAAACTGAAACCCTTCAGAGAGGAGGCAGGATAAGTCTGGATACATGCACACACTCCCTCACACACGCATACACACAAAGGTTTGTTCTTTGGGTAGATAGGAGATGTGTTAATGCACATGTGGGACTGAGGTAAGGCTCACCGTATTGGAAACTGAGCTTACAAGGTAATACTGCAAACTGCTGAGTCACAGACAAGCACAGCCATGGCGCTTTAATTAAGACCTGAAGCCACCTCCACATACAGAGCATTCTTTTAATCAGGTTCAGACTCTGAGCTGCTCATCTGTGTCCTCCTTCACAGTAAAGAAGAGTTGTTCTTTTACAAGAAAACTGAAGGGAACAGTATCTGACAGCCTCTGGCCAACACAGAGACTGATTCTCTCTAGTTTTCCTTACTTTTTTGAACTTTCATAATCAGGGGATAACATAACAGTAGCCAATCTGTCTTACATGATGTTAATTTGAACATAAAAACATTGGGTTTGCATGCGTTTAACTGGCTCGTGCATCATGTCACAGCTGTTCAGATTAACTCCATGCGAGAGTTCTGACCCCCATGTGGGAAACATGTGGGTACAATTTGCACAATGTCATCTCTTTACAGGTCAAAAATATGAGCAGCCATAAAGCCAGGCACTGGGGTGCAATATGAGTTCATATACTGCTGTTGTACTCAGGTTTCTTCAACAAAACACATCTTTAATGGAGATGGTGGAGGTGTCATTTTTCAGGCAATGTTTTTTTTTCTCCTTAGATTGGACCACATTCGGCTGTAAAGACAAATGTCAGTTTTTGTTGATAACTTTATAAATGTCACAATAACCTGCTCTACACTGCAGGGAGAGTGATTTAAATTGGCATGTTGGGATAAAAACACTCACTAACCACTTTATTAGGTATGTCTTGCTAGTATCTGTTTAGACCCCCTTTTGCTTTTAGACCTACCTTTGTTCTTCGTGGCACAAGATTCAAGAAGGTGCTGGAAACATTCCTCTGAGATTTTGGTCCATATTAACACGACAGCATCACACAGTTGCTGCAGACTTGTTGGCTGAGACTCTCCTATTCGACCACAGGTCAAAGGTGCTCTATTAGATTGCAATCTGGTGACTTTGAAGGTCATCTGAGTACAGTCAACTTATTGTCATGTTCAAGAAACCAGTTTGAGATGATGTGAGATTTGTGGCATGGCACGCTATCCTGATGGAAACAGCCAGAAGATGGGTTCCCTCTGGACACGAAGGGATAAACATAATCCGCAGCAATACACAGGCAGGCTGTGGGGTTTAAATCATCTTCAGTTGGTGCTAAGAGACCCAAAGTGTACCATTACCATTATGCCATATTCTAATACTACAATCCAAATATTGCAGCAGAAATCAGGTTGCATTTGAAGTATAGTCTCAGATTTCTGTTCTTATTTGACAGAAGTAAGTTGCATCCAGTAGTCTTCTGCTGCTGCAGGCAGTCAGCTTCAAGGTTCAACATGACATATTTTTCTGCAAACTTTGGTAGAAATGAGTGGTTGTTTGAATTACAGCTCAAGCCAGTCTGGCCATTCTCCTCTGACCTCTCCCAGCAGTGAGGCATCTTCACCCAGAGAACTGGGCTCACTGGAGATTTTTTGCTTTTTTGAACCATGCTCTATAAATCAGCATTTTCTGGAATACTCAAAACAACAATGCCACTTTCTAAGTCACTTAAAATCAACTTTCTTCTGCATTCTGATTCTCATTTTGAACTTCAGCAGGTCATCTTGACCACATCTACTTGCCTGTGTATCTAATAAAATGTCCTCCGAGAGCTTACAGTAACAAAGTTTTTATTGTATGTATACCAGAGGTGAGCAGTTAATTTTCCCAAGGGGTCACATCTGCCAGTTTTTCCCATTTCATCCCAAGCGTGTGGTTACCTCCATGAACAAATATTGTTCCTTGCAATCTCAAACACTTTAGTTTTCCCATCCATAAAGATGAGTAACTTGGCTGTGTCACAGACATCACGTCCAGTTCAAAGTGTCCACTTTGTCAGCGTAAGTTGCAGATTTCCCACAGTGTCCTTGATCAGTCTTGTTATGCTTCGCCTGGATAGAGACACATTCTCAAATGCTTCTTTTTTTCTCATGGGCATAATAACAGTTCACCAAATAAACTTCCCATCGGAGAATAGTTTACCTTTGTTACTGCTATTTGTGCAATTTTATGGGAAAAGACAAAGCTGGTCTTGACTGCTTCTTCCTTGGATGTGTAATGCTTGGTAAAAAAAAAAGTTCTTCTGTCTTCACATATTAGTTTGCGCTCTGCATCATTCAAGTTCTTGTATTTTTATGTAGGTGCTTAGTCTCATAATGGCAATTCAAACTGTAATCCTTCAACATAGCAATCTTCTCACCACAAACTAAGCACACTGCTTTATCTCTAACACCATCTCTTGTTCAAAACGCTACATTCTGCATCAATCTGTACTCACATAGCAAGCAGGTCTGGCCCGGATCTGGTATCAAGCCGG